CTGTGTTTCCCAATACAAATCTCCATTACCCTCACACTGATCCCTCTGTCACCAGAACAGTCTGTCTTTCTTTGCTTTTGGTTTGGTTTTTTGAGACAGGGTTTCTCTGAGTAGCCCTGGCTGTTTTGGAACTCACTCTATAAACCAGGCTGGCCTCGAACTCAGAAATTTGCCTGCCTCTGCCTCCCAAGCGTGCGCCATCACCACCCAGCTCCCCAGAACAGTCTTACTCTCACTATTAGTGTTCCAGAGCCCAGGGCTCCCTTCCTATCTATGCAACCTGCACCAGGCCTGTGTTTTTCCATCTCTCAGAGATCCCTCCACAGCTGACAGTCACCACCCCTGCATGACCTTCGGCAGGCAGTTATTCTCACACATGTGTTTGCTCTTCTGTCTTGTCTCCCTCAGCTAAGTTATGGCCCCTTGAGGGTTGCTATCTCGATAGACAGCTGGCATATTTCCAGGAACACAGAGCTCGTGAGTATGAGGGACGGGCCTGAGACGATCTACTTCTGATGCCTCTGCTGTCAGACAGTGTATTCTCCTTCCCCAGGATGTAAGGCCTAAGTGATGCTGATGAAGAGAAGAGGTGTCCTTACAATAGCAGCCCAAAGTCTTCCGTGGGGTTTCTGTTGTCTCCGAGTCGCTCCTGCCGCTGACTGTGAGTCATGGCTCATCTGTGGCTCCTAGCCTCGCTTCATGACTCACAGGCTAAAAGTGGCGTGAGGTTTTTACTGAGGAACTAATCCCAGCCTGAACTGAGCTTCACAATTACCGGGTTCCTCTGTGGCTTCTGAACTCTGAGCCTGGTGCCTCTCACGACATGTACTTAGAATGCATTTCACAGGGATATGCTGCGAGGTTCCCTGCAACTCGCTTGTTCGGCTCGTATCTGATCTAAGTGAATAAGCTAAGGAAGGGTAGAGAACAGCTTGGGGGCTCCTCTTTTGTGTATTCCTGCTGAGTGATGGTTTGGTTTCTCAGGCAGAATATGCATTTGAAGAAGTTTCAGAACTGGCCTCTGTATCCAAGCACTTAGCTCTCCTTAGCATCCCAGAGACCTGCTCTAATCGTGAGTGAAAGGGGGAATCACTAGAGAGAGGATGGATTCGAAAATGACAGAAATGGGGCAGCTTTATAGATCTGTATTCAATCCAAAGACTTCTCCCAAAAACGCTGTAGCACCTCGGATGAGACATTGAAGAGCAGCTGCGATGACAATGGGTGACACCTACGTAGGGTTTGGAGTGGTGCCTGGCACAGGGTAATCCCTCTGTGAGGTCACCTGCTATTATCATCACTGCTTTGTTTCTTTCTGAGACAGTCTCATGTAACCCCAGGCTAGTCTCAAATTGTAACTAGGATAGCCTCAAACAACTACTTCAACTTCTACTTCTCCTCCTTCTCCTTCTCCTTCCTTCCCCTTCTTCTCCTCCTCCTCTTCCTCCTCCTCCTCCTCTTCCTCCTCCTCCTCTTCCTCTTCCTCCTCTTCCTCTTCCTCCTCCTCTTCCTTCTCTTCCTCCTCCTCCTCCTTTTTTTTTGGTTTTTGGAGACAGGGTTTCTCTGTGTAGCCCTGGCTGTCCTGGAACTCACTTTGTAGACCAGGCTGGCCTCGAACCCAGAAATCCGCCTGCCTCTGCCTCCCAAGTGCTGGGATTAAAGGTGTGCACCACCACTGCCCGGCAGCCTCAAATTTCTAATCCTCCTGCCTCCACCTCCTGAGTGCCGGGATTACAGGTATGTACCACCATGCTCAGTTTATGCAGTGATAGTGTTGAGCCCAGGGCCTCATGCATGCCAGGCCAGCAGGCTACCCGCTCACTGCCAATAGCTGCAGCCTATCCATCTCATTATCACAGAGGGTTTATTGTGCCCACTACTGAACACTTGGTGTTCACGGTCCCACTGAGTCCTTTGAATGGTGAAGTGACTTTTGCTATTCCTGGTGTACAGAAGTAAACCGAGACTTAGAGGTTGAATTATGAGTTCAAGCACTTGTGCTAGTTAATTTTATCTCAACTTGACATAGGCTAGAGTCATCTGAGAGAAGGGAACCCCAGTTTAAAAAATGTCTTCTTAAGATTGGCTAATAGGTACTTTTTAAACTAGGGATTGATGGGGAAGGCCCAGCCCTCTCTGGGCAGGTGGTCCTGGGTTCTCTAAGAAGGAGGATGAGCAAGCCATAGAAAGCAAGCCAGTAAGTAGCACCCCTCCATGGCCTCTGCATTCATTCCTGCCTCCAGTTCCTGCCCTGACTTACTTCCCTCAGTGATGGACTGTTATCTGGGAGTGTAATCAGAAATAAATCCTTCCCTCCCAAGTTGCTTTGGTCATGGTGTTTCTCAGCAATAGTAACCCTAACTAGGACACCAGTCATGTATGCACTGGGCCATGAGATGGATCAGCGTGTAAAGGCACTTGCCACTGGTACTGATGACCTATGTTTGATACCTGGACCTCACATGGTGAAAGGTACACACACAGATATACCTGGGAGATATTGATCCTGAACAACCTACCTGTTTTTAGGGCTTCATGTTTTCTTTCCTTCTCCCTGCCCACCCCTCCAACCCCATTTTTCCATGGATTTTGCTGGGCTCACCATTGTGGGATAGGCAGGATATTTTCCCCATGGAGCTGTGATGAGGCATGTGTCAGCACATGCCTTGCATTGTGGCTTTCTTTCTGAGAGGCCCAGCGGGGGTGCGGCCTCACATCCAGCGGCTGTTTCTGAGAAGCCGAATCCCACTCTTCAGTTTTGCTGTCTTATCTTGGCTCACAGCCATTACCACATTGAGTGACAGTGGCATTAACGTTGACAGGGGCTAAAGAAAAGCTCGCAGGCAGCCAGTCGTGGGAAGCAGTCCTCAAGTTTGTGGCTGAGTTACTTGAGGTAAGATCTGGTTTAGGACAACATTCTCTAGGCTGTTTGTTCATGTCCAGGCCTGTGGCTGGTAAGGATCTCTGAGGAGGGCTTTGGACTACAGACTTGTGGACATTCCATCCTTTGTGCGCCTTGGGTGTTCTGGCAGGTATCCACATTTCTCAGGAATTTCTCAGGAAGTGTCAATACAGTTCATCGCAGCTGATGTTCATAAACTACTTAGTGTATGACAGTGTACATATACTCTGAAGTGCTTCTTTGTGTGTGTGGCTCTAACTCGAAGATTACAGTGTTTTGGCATCAGAGGGCCTTGGCTAAGGGATTGGATCTGTTACCCACAGTTTGATGTTTCCAGAGTACCTGTTTGTTGTGGCTTCTATTTGATCATTCCTTATATAGAACACTACCATGGAAAACAAGAGTCAGTTTGACCGGAAACCATGAAGATTTTCTCCTTAAAGAAGAAGCATTTTAGAAATGCTAGGAACACCTACTTTCTCTCTACTCAGATTTTCTTTCTTTTTTTTTTTTTGTAATCTATAAAAGAACTATATTGTCACCTGACCTAGCCATTTAATATGGAAGATGAGGGTTTTAAAGTAACTCAATTCGTAGAGTGCTCATCTTCCTTGCAGGAAGCCCTGAGTTTGACCCACAGAACAGCTTAAAGCCCGTGGTTCTCAGCCTTCCTAATGCCGTGACCTTTTAACCCAGTTCCTCATGTTGTGGTGACCCCCAACCATTAAATTATTTTCATTGCTACTTCATGACTGTGACTTTGCTACTGTTAGGAATCTGAATGTAAATATTTGATTGCAGGATATCTGATATGTGACCCCTGTAAAAGTGCCATTGTACCCAGAAAGGGGTTGAGAAGCACTGATTTAAACCATGTGTACTGCTCTACACCTGTACTCTCAGCATAGGAGGTGAGGCAGGAAGACAGGAAGTTTTCCCATATAGCAAAGATGGCCTCAAATATATGAAACTGCCTCAAAAAACAAATAAACAAACAAACAAACAACAGACCAGTACACTAACAACTTAAGTGAAGGATGGTACAAAAATAGATTTCTGATAATTATAAACTTTATATAAGCAGTTGCTTTAAGAAGTATAAAAAAACCTTTTCCCCACCAAACAAGGCAAAACCATTAAATGTTTTCTATACTGGTTTTTCTCTCAGTATAAATTTACTGAAGATAACTTAGAGCAAAGTTTAACCATTACTGTAACTGTGGAGGCTGAGGTACATCATTCTAGGAACCATCTGAAGATTGTATCCGCTTAGCAAGAACAGTAATGCTCAAGACATCTGACCCAGTAGCTCATCTGAAAAAGCATATTAATTTTGCATTAATCTTCATTCATTCACCATAAGATCAAGAGCAAGGTTTGAGTTGTAAAAAGACATGAAGAAACTTGTAAGCCAATTAAATAATATTGAACATCCACAGAACATAAGTTGCCATGCAAGTAGAGATTTGACATTTATATGCTAATTCAAACTGACCTGCATTGAAATTGTATTAACTCACTTTTATTTTTTTCAGTAAAGCAGATATTCCCCTGCCACTTACATAAATGAACAAGCGATGACTCCATGATTGTTTTGCTTTATTTTTGGTTTTTTCTTGATTGGTTAATCATGGTTAGAGATGCCATCTGGGAGCTGCTGGCTCTCAGCCAGAGATTCAAATCAGACTCTCTGGAAAAGTTACTTGCCTGAGGCAGGAAAGCACTTTGGTTTCACAGAAAGGGGCATGCTTTTATTTCACCATCTGCGTAAAAATGGCGAAAGCACTGTAAACAAGTTTTAATACTTAATAAGGCCGTTAGCCTCTCATTATAGATGACAGTATTTCTCAAACAGAGTGGGGAAATTGGGGACTCTTAATTGCTAAAATTTGTGTGGTTAATTGGTGGTCTGTTCTAAATCTGTATCTGGGGATATTGGTGTCACTAGAGAAAGGCGGGTAGAAAAAGAGGAGGTGATATGAAACCAGGCATGTTGGAAACTGCCCGAAACCTCATCCTGGAGTTCAAAGCGCAAACCTGTGTGGATTCAGTATAAAGCAATGTTTACCATTTTCCATTTCTTTTCTTATTTAAACAGATCTCTGCCTGGCAGATTAACCAAAGGCAAGGAGGACTGGTCTTACCTCCTTTCTGAGTGCTGCCATTCACAGGACCTCTGGGACAGACTGCAGCCCAAGCCCCCTCTGCTACCCTGTTTACCCCAGACATCTTTCTGGGGTCCACTTGAGGTCATCAGCGTGAAGATGAACAGTACCTTCTTAGCATGACGACCTTGGACCATGTCATTGCCACCCACCAGTCAGAGTGGGTCTCCTTCAGTGAAGAGCCATTGTTCCCCACCCCTTTAGAGGGTAAGTCTGGTTCTTGGTCAGTCACATGACCAAGACCTAATAGAGGAAAAAAGAAAAAGTCATTTGGTCCCTTATGACAGGTATGCATGGATTCTTTCATTCAGTAGCCAGAGGAGGGTATCTTTTCAGCCTGAGGTGTCACCAAAACCCTGGGAACACAAAGGACACATGCTCATTTCTTCAAAGGGACATAATTTTGTTTTTTGTTTTTTGTTTTTTTTTTGTTTTTGTTTTTTGGTTTTTCGAGACAGGGTTTCTCTGTGTAACCCTGGCTGTCCTGGAACTCACTCTGTAGACCAGGATGGCCTCGAACTCAGAAATCCACCTGCCTCTGCCTCCCAAGTGCTGAGATTAAAGGCGTGCGCCACCACCGCCCGGCAGGACATAACTTCTAATCACATACTGCTTTACTGTTGGTCTTTTTTGTAGTTACTTCCACCAGCCATTGGAGTTTTTTTTCAATTTTGGAAGTGTAATTGTTACAAATGATGGATAGGTTCTGAGCCAGACTGCAAATCTCTAGCCTCGTCCTCCTCACAGATGAGTGGTGTGCCTTGAAGGATTTGTGTATAGGGTGAGGTGGCAGGTAGATGGCGTGTGCACATGCCATGCCCGGCTATGTGGAGGTCACGTGTCATCATTCTCTGTGTTGTTGTCTTGAGACAGGATCTACCAACAAAACAAAAGCCCATTGAGCTAGGCTGGTTGACCAGTAAGCTCCCTAGGAACTGCTTGTTTCTACTCAATGCTGGGGTTATAGGTGTGTGTGTGGCCATGCCTGGTTTTTCTGTGGGCACTGAGGATTTGAACCCAGGTCCTCATGCTTCCAGAACAAGCACTCTAACCCACATCTTTCTAACACTTCTTTTGGTTTCTTGCTTTGTTCTGCTCCATTCTGTTTTTTGTTTTTTCAAGACAGGGTTTCTTCTGTGCAGTCTTAGTTTACCTGGAATTTGCTCAGTAGACCAGGCTAGCCTCTGCCTCCCAACGTCTGGGATGAACAGCATGTGCCACCACTCCTGGCTAGTTTTGTGTTCGAAGCCTATTTTTCACTATAATCTTGGTTGTCCTAGAACTCACTCTCTAGACTAGGCTGGCCTTGACTCCACATCAGTCCTTCTACCTCTGCCTCATGACTGCTGGGTTTACCGTCAGGTGCACCATGCCTAGCCTCCAGAATGATTTGTGTAACCTCTCTCCAAGTTGCCGAATTGTCTCTGTAAGAGGAATGATCATGATCATGGGCCTGCCTTAGGAGCGTCCATAAACATATGTCATCAAATATAAAATGCCTAGTGTGTGGTCCATGCAAAGAGCTCAGCATTGTCATCCTGGGTCACAGTAGAAGTGACTTTATTGCCCTTTAGGAGGGTGATGCTCAGGGATGAAGGTCAAGATAGATGCAGGGATATTTGCAGTACCACGTCAGTTGGTTCGCTTCAACCTTACCTGCCCCAGCTGGGCCCTCCTCAGCTCTGTCTGCACTGATGGAAAGTGGCTGCCAATAGCTCTTGTCTGCACTGATGGAAAGTGGATGCCACTGTGGCATCCACACGGAGAGCCTTAAATGTGGCCAATCTGAATTGAGATGTTCTGAAAGTGCCTTGTACAGAGATGTACCTATATCAGAACATATCTTGACTGCTGGGAAAAGAACTTACTCAGTAAATGCACTTGCTGTGCAACCATTGACGTAAGTTCAAGTTGCCAGGACCTGTGCAACAAGCCTAGCATGGCTGCATGCACCTCTAGCTCCAGTGCTGGGGAGGGCGTTAAGTAGGACGATTGCCACAGCCGAATGGCCACCAGTCTAATTCCAGATCCAGTAAGAGGCCTTGTTTTCAGGGGACAAGGCAAAGTGGGATACAGCAGGAGAGTTAAGTGATGTCTCCTGGCCTCTGCTCATGCGTATGTACATGCACATACCTGCTCACATGCACGTACAGATAGCACAAACTTTTGGAGTTTGTTTTTCTTGCTGATTTTCACTTTTGGGTTTTTTTGTTTTGTTTTCATTTTCGTCTCTTTTGTTAGTTTTTGTGTTTCTGTTTTTGTTTAGTTTAGGTGCTTTTTGGGGGTGTTGGAGTTTGGTTTGGTTTTGGGGTTTTGTTGTTTGTGTGTGTGTGTGTGTGTGTGTGTTGGGGGAGAGAGAGAGAGAGAGAGAGAGAGAGAGAGAGAGAGAGAGAGAGAGAGAGAGAG